TTTTTTTTTTTTTTTTTTGAAAAAAATAAACAAGTTATATTTGTAGTATTAATTGGAGATAATGTAGTAGATCATCTCATATAACATGTTTTGTTATTTTACAAAATAAAGTTAGGGAAATGGAATTTTTTACACTGTTGTTGAATTCTTTGATTGAACTACAAAAATTATTTCTTTTATATACATATTTATAATATACCACGCACGTCAATAATATTGTATCTTAAGACAGTACCGAAGAAATGAAGAAAGATTACCGAATTTTCTGTGATCGCATTCTGAAAATCGCATTATCTATGAAATGATCTACGCAAGCAAAACAATTGTAAAATCAATCATAAATCCTACCTCTTCGATCACTTCCTCCGCGACATCTGCGAAAAGAACAAAATGCTTTAGATCTGTTTAACCAACATTCTCGAAACTAAGCGTTTCTGTATAACGGAAACCACTTAACAAAACCTTGTAACGAATAAACGATACCGATATATGTATAAAGCATATATATACATATACGTATAAACCAATAGCTTATCAATATATACACTGACAAATATTACATGTAGAAAGTATAAATATCAGGTAAAAGTATAAATATTTGTCCATCATGTCTTTGTATCTTGTTCTGTTTCATATCGTATGTTATATATTTATGAACTATTTTGTAAATGAATAATGATATGTGCAAAGAAAATATAATTTGTTCGAGGTGATAGTAATACGTAAGAAATGGGCTTACCTTCCGTCAGTTTCTCGACAGCTTTTGGTTTTGTTGGTCTTTTGTGTTTTGGTTTTTCGTGTATTTCTGGTGTAGTGTCTTCGTGGATTTCTATTGTTGCTGTTAATGGTTCTTTACCTTCCTCTTCCACGGTCACCTCTTCGGTGACCTGTTCTTTACCTTCGCGTTTCCTGGTCACACGCTTTTTACGCACGGTTCTCTTTGTTCCTTCCTCGGTCACGATCTCGCTCGTTACGATCTCCTCTTTGATCTCTTCGACAGGCGCGGTTGGCACGATCGATTCTATTGGTAAAGCTTCTTCCGGCTTATCTTCGACAATTTCCTCGACGGTCACGACTGGCTCTACGCCTTCTTCCTCTATCGTTGTCTCTTCGACAACTTTCGGTTTCTCGTCGCCACGTTTCGTCGTGGTCTTTTTCTTTTTAATCTTTCGCGGTTTCTTTTCAGGTGTCTCTTCCTCCGTAACCACGGTCGTAACAACCTCGACAGTTTCGACAACGTCGTCGTCTTTGGGAACGAATTTCAGATAATACTCGGGTTTCTTCTCTTCTTCCTTCTCTTCTTCTGGTTTCTTCCAAGGTTTCAGTTTGATCTTCTCTGGCTCCTCCTCCGGAGCTTCCCTTTCAGGAATTCTTCTCTTGATCTCTTCCTCTTCTTCGGGTTCATCTGGCTTTGGAACGCCAGGCACTATCGGGACAGCCTCGGTTTCCTGAGCTGGTGTCTTACGCTCTTTCTTTGGTTTCTTGCTCGGTACCTTTTTCGGTGGTTTCTCCTCTGGTTCAGGGTACTTTGGTTTCTCTCTTTCTTGCAGCTCAACCTCCGGTGCTTCTATTTCATACGGTTCGAACGGTTTTAGTTCAGGATATTCCCTCTCTTCTTTCTCTCTCTTGGGTTTCTCTTCTTCCTCTTTCTTCTTTGGAACGGGAGTCTCTTCCTCTTGAACACTTGGAACTTTTTCTGGTATTTTCTTCAACTTTACTGTCTCCGGTTCTTCCTCTTCTGCAGGTCGAGGCTTTCCTTTGCCTATCTTCAGTTTCTTTGGTTTCTCTTCCTCAGGCTTCTCTGGTTTCGGTTTACGTTCGTACGGTGCCATTTCCTCGACCTTCTCTAATGGAACTTTCTTCAATTCTTCGAATTCCTGATCCAGTTTCTCTAATTCTGTAATTTCCTTTTCCGGAAGTTTCAACTTTTTGTGTTTTATCTTTTTTAGTTTCAGTGCTTCTTCCATGGTATGAGATAGAATACCACTTTGTACATAATTAGGCTCGAGTTCGGTTATAACTGGATATTTAATCGACGGTGGCCATTCGTGGTCTGTGATACGGCTTCGTAAAAGTATCTTAGGAAACTTGATCTCATCCTTGTCCTCTTTCTTCTTCGGTTTGGCAGGAGCTTTCTTCAGCTTGATTTGCGCGAACAGAGGAGTAGCTGGCTCCTCGATCTTGAGTTTAATTGGTTTTTGCTCCTTGATACTGATCCTCATCAACTGAGGCTTCTCACCTTTAACTTCCTCCACGGGTTTCTTCTTTTTCACTTTCTTCTCTGGTTTCTTTTCTGTAGGTAGTGGCTCTTCAAGTTTCTCCAATGGTAGTTCTTTTTTCAATTCCTCAAACTCCTGATCAAGCTTCTCAAGCTTGGCTATCTCCTTTTCTATGCGTTTGATCTTCTTCTTCTTTGGTCTCGGTAATTTATCTGCTTCTTCGACGTTTCGAGACAAAATACCATTTTGAATCTCGTTCGGCTCCAGTTCCTCGATTTTCAAGTACTTCTTCGCCGGTGGCCATTCCACAGGAGTAATTCGACTTCGAAGAAGAACTCGAGGAATCTTTTCCTTCTTCTCCACTGGACGTTTCACCGTTGGAGTCTTGCGTAGTTTGATTTGAGCAAACTGAGGTTTATCCAAAGACAATTCTTGAACTTCGAGTTTCGTCGCTTCGAATTTCGTAATTTTCATACGTTGAAGTTTGACAGGTTTTTTCTTATCTTTCTCTAACGGAACTTCAGGAGCTTCAGGTGCTTCGATTTTCTCTTCCTCGGGTACAGGCATCTTCTTAGGACCCTTCTTTTTAACAACTTTCTTCGGTTTGCCTTCTTTCGTGACGATTTCAGTTACTGTTACTTCCTCCGGTGCTTCTTCTACTTCCGTTGGTTCCACGCGCTCTGGAGCAGGTAGTGCTTTTATTGTTTCCTCAACTACTTCTTCGACAGGACCTTCAGTGACAGTGGTGACAGGTTTCTTTCCTTGTTCTTCCACAGTGACAACTTCTGTTATTTGTTGCTCTCTTCCTTTACGTTTGACAACCTTCTTCTTGGTAACTTTCTTAGGCTTTCCTTCTTCTGTCACTTCTTGCGTAAAAGTAACCTGTTCACGAACCTCTTCGACTTCACCTGGCTTAGCATGTTCTGGAGCAGGAAGAACTTTCAATGTTTCTTCAACAACTTCTTCAACAGGACTTTCAGTGACAGTTGTAACAGGTCTCTTTCCTTGTTCCTCAACCGTCACCTGTTCAGTGACTTGTTGCTCTCGTCCTTTGCGTTTTACGACCTTCTTCTTGGTAACTTTCTTAGGTTTACCTTCCTTAGTCACTTCCTCAGTGATAGTCACTTGTTCACGAACTTCCTCAACTTCAGTTGGCTTCGCATACTCTGGGGCAGGAAGTGGTTTTATCACATCTTCGACCAATTCTTCAACAAGTCCTTCAGTCACCGTTGTCACAGGAGCTTTTCCTTCTTCCTCGACTGTGACAACTTCCGTCACTTGTTGCTGCGGTCCTTTACGTCTGGTAACTTTCTTCTTGATCGTTTTCTTTGGTTTACCTTCCTCTGTAATTTCTTGAGTCACAGTCACCTGCTCGCGAACTTCCTCCACTTCCGATGGTTTGGCGTATTTGGGAGCTGGTAAGGTTTTCAGTGTTTCTTCGATCACTTCTTCCGTAGGACCTTCAGTGACAGTTGTGACTGGCACTTTATCTTGTTCTTCGACAGTAACAACTTCAGTCACCTGTTGTTCTTTCCCTTTGCGTTTGATCAGTTTCTTTTTCGTGGTCCTCTTCGGTTTACCTTCCTCAGTTACTTCTTCAGTGACAGTTACTTGCTCACGGACTTCTTCAACTTTTGTCGGTTTCACGCGTTTCGCGACAGGCAATGGCTTCACCATTTCCTCCACTACTTCCTCAACGGGACCTTCGGTGACTGTCGTCACAGGTCTTTTACCTTGTTCTTCAACCGTAACAACTTCTGTCACTTGTTGTTCTTTGCCTTTACGTTTGACAACTTTCTTCTTGGTGGTCTTCTTCGGTTTTCCTTCTTCGGTGACTTCCTGCGTGATAGTGACTTGTTCATGGATTTCTTCCTCCTCACCTGGCTTAGCGTACTCCGGAATTGGCAATGCTTTAATCGTTTCTTCAACGATTTCTTCTGTGGGACTTTCGGTAACGGTGGTAACTGGTGCTTTGCCCTGTTCTTCAACCGTTACTACTTCCGATACTTGTTGTTCTCTTCCTTTACGTTTGATTACTTTCTTCTTAGTAACCTTCTTCGGTTTACCTTCCTTGGTTATCTCCTCAGTGACAGTTACCTGCTCTCGGACTTCTTCTACTTCTGATGGCTTGACAAATTCTGGAGCTGGAAGTGGTTTCAGCACTTCTTCAACTATCTCTTCTACTGGGCCTTCGGTGACAGTCGTGACAGGTCTCTTTCCTTGTTCTTCAACAGTAATGACTTCTGTAACTTGTTGTTTTTTGCCCTTACGTTTAATGACCTTCTTCTTGACAGTTTTCTTTGGTTTACCTTCTTTGGTGATTTCTTGAGTAACCGTTACTTGTTCATGAACCTCTTCGACTTCACTTGGTTTGGCGTATTCTGGTGCTGGTAATGCCTTGATTGTTTCCTCTAATATTTCTTCTGTTGGACCTTCAGTGACAGTTGTAACTGGTGCCTTGCCTTGCTCTTCGACTGTTACTACTTCAGACACCTGTTGTTCTCTCCCTCTTCGTTTAATAACCTTTTTCTTTGTAACTTTCTTAGGTTTACCTTCTTTAGTGACCACTTCAGTGACAGTTACTTGTTCACGAACTTCTTCCTCTTCAAATGGTTTGACCTCTTCTGGAGCCGGCAATGGTTTTATTATTTCCTCAACCAATTCTTCAGTGGGCCCTTCAGTTACCATTGTCACAGGTGATTTGCCTTGTTCTTCGACTGTAACGACCTCTGTCACTTGCTGTTCCTTTCCTTTACGTTTGATGACTTTCTTTTTGGTTACTTTCTTAGGTTTACCTTCAGGTGTTATTTCTTTCGTAACTGTTACTTGTTCTCGGACTTCTTCTTCTTCGCCAGGTTTAGCATATTCTGGTGCTGGCAGAGTTTTCAATTTCTCTTCGACCACTTCCTCGACAGGGCTTTCAGAGACAGTTGTGACAGGTCTCTTACCTTGTTCTTCGACAGTGACAACTTCTGTTACCTGTTGTTCCTTACCTCTACGTTTGATAATCTTCTTCTTTGTTGTCTTCTTTGGTTTGCCTTCCTTGGTCACTTCTTGAGTAACTGTAACTTCTTCTCGAACCTCTTCAATTTCAGATGGTCTGATACTTTCTATTACTGGCAGAGGTTTTACGAATTCTTCGACTACTTCTTCTACAGGACCTTCAGTTACGGTCGTAACAGGTCGTTTACCTTGTTCTTCAACGGTTACCTCTTCAGTAACCTGTTGTTCTTTACCTTTACGTTTTATCACCTTCTTCTTGGTAATTTTCTTAGGCTTACCTTCTCTGGTAACTTCTTCTGTAACCGTCACTTGTTCTCGTACTTCTTCAACGTCATCTGGTTTGGCATTTTCTGGAGCAGGAAGAGGTTTAAATGTTTCTTCTACTATCTCCTCTAATGGACCTTCGGTAACTGTAGTAATTGGTGCTTTTCCTTGTTCTTCGACGGTGACAACTTCTGTCACTTGTTGCTCCTTTCCTTTGCGTTTGATGACTTTCTTTTTGATCACTTTCTTAGGCTTACCTTCTCTTGTTACTTCTTCCGTAATGGTCACTTGTTCACGTACCTCTTCTACTTCAATCGGTTTAATTTTCTCTGAAGCAGGCAATGGTTTTATTATTTCTTCTACAACTTCTTCTTTTGGCCTTTCAGTGATTGTTGTAACCGGAGCCTTGCCTTGTTCTTCAACAGTGACAACCTCGGTAACTTGTTGTTCCTTTCCTTTACGCTTGATGACTTTTTTCTTGGTGACCTTCTTTGGTTTGCCTTCCTTGGTTATTTCTTCTGTGACAGTTACTTGTTCACGCACTTCTTCTACCTCAGATGGTTTAACGAACGGTGCTGGAAGTGGTTTGATCTCTTCTTCGACCACTTCTTCCACTGGACCTTCTTGAATGGTAGTAACAGGTCTCTTTCCTTGTTCTTCAACAGTCACCACTTCAGTAACTTGCTGTTCTTTTCCTTTCCGTTTAACGATCTTCTTTTTAGTAGTTTTCTTAGGTTTACCTTCTTCTGTTATTTCCTGTGTCACAGTTACCTGTTCTCGAACTTCTTCTACTTCAGATGGCTTAACAAACTCTGTAACTGGCAAAGGTTTCATTATTTCTTCAACCACCTTTTCTACAGGTCCTTCAGTTACTTCAGTAACTGGTGCTTTTCCTTGTTCTTCAACAGTGACAACTTCCGTAATCTGTTGTTGTTTTCCCTTCCGTTTGATAATCTTCTTTTTAGTTGTTTTCTTTGGTTTGCCTTCCTTAGTCACTTCCTGTGTCACAGTGACTTGTTCATGTACTTCTTCCACCTCAGATGGTTTCGCATATTCAGGCACAGGCAATGGTTTTGTTACTTCTTCCTCTATGATTTCTTCTACTGGACCTTCAGTCACTGTAGTGATAGGAGCTTTTCCATGTTCTTCAACAGTAACTACTTCAGTCACCTGTTGTTCCTTTCCTTTACGTTTAATTATTTTCTTCTTAACTGTCTTTTTCGGTTTACCTTCTTTCGTAATTTCTTCAGCTATTGTAACTTGCTCTCGTATCTCTTCTACTTCAGTTGGTTTGACACGTTCTGGCGCAGGAAGTGATTTAATTGTTTCTCCGATCACTTCCTCTACTGGTCCTTCCTTTACAGTAATGATTGGAGCTTTGTCTTTTTCTTCAATAGTTACTATCTCTGTGATTTTCTGATCTTGACCTTTACGCTTAATAATCTTCTTCTTAGTAGTCTTCTTTGGTTTACCTTCTTTAGTCAGTTCCTCTGTAACTGTTACCTGTTCACGTACTTCTTCAACTTCAGTTGGTTCAATATGTTCTGGAACAGACAATGGTTGTGTGACTTCTTCTATGATCTCTTCAATGGGTCCTTCGGTAACTGTTGTCATTGGAGCTTTTCCTTCCTCTTCTACAGTTAGAATTTCAGTAACTTGCTGTTTTGGACCTTTACGTTTAATGACTTTCTTTTTGATGGTTTTCTTCGGTTTACCCCATCTAGTGACTTCTTCAGTAACTGTGACTTGTTCACGAACTTCTTCCACTTCACCTGGTTTTGCGTATTCTGGCCTTGGGAGGGGTTTGATCGTTTCATCAACCACCTCTTCTATTGGGCCTTCTTTCACAGTCGTGACTGGAGTTTTTCCTTTCTCTTCAACTGTAACAACCTCGGTAACTTGCTGTTCTGTTCCTTTGCGCTTGATAATTTTCTTTTTTGTCGTTTTCTTTGGCTTTCCTTCTCTTGTTACTTCTTCACTAACTGTGACTTGCTCAGTAACTTCTTCTATATCTTTCGGCTTAATAACTTCTGGTTTTATGACTTCTTCTATTATTTCTTCTACAGGTCCTTCAGTCACCGTTGTTACAGGTGCTTTTCCAGCTTCTTCCACAGTTACTGTCTCCGTTACCTTTTGTTCTGGACCTTTACGTTTGGTAACTTTTTTCTTAGTAATCTTTTTAGGTTTACCCTCTTTGGTTACTACCTCTGTGACTGTTACTTGTTCTCTGATTTCTTCTACTTCAATTGGTTTAATACGCTCTGGTGCCGGTAATGGTTTTACTACTTCTTCCACAATTTCTTCCACTGGTCCTTCAGTAACCGTGGTTACTGGTTTCTTCCCTTGTTCTTCAACAGTTACAACTTCTGTGACTTGCTGTTCTTTACCTTTACGCTTAATTACCTTCTTCTTAATAACCTTCTTAGGCTTTCCTTCGTGCGTAATTTCTTCTGTGACTGTAACTTGTTCTCTTACTTCTACTTCAGTCGGCTTGATTCTCTCTGGAGCAGGTAGTGCTTTTATTATTTCTTCAACTACTTCTTCTGTTGGTCCTTCAGTAACAGTTGTTACTGGTTTCTTTCCTTCCTCTTCAACAGTTAGTACTTCCGTGACTTGCTGCTCCTTTCCTTTGCGTTTGATGACTTTCTTTTTGGTAACTTTCTTAGGTTTGCCTTCTCTAGTAACTTCTTCGGTAACTGTCACTTGTTCCCTGATTTCCTCAACTTCAGTTGGCACTATCCTCTCTGGTGCAGGCAATGGTTTAATAATTTCTTCGATCACTTCTTCTACAGGACCCTCAGTTACAGTCGTAACTGGTTGTTTACCTTGTTCTTCAACAATTACCTCTTCAGTCACCTGTTGTTCTTTACCTTTCCTCTTAATTATCTTTTTCTTAGTAACCTTCTTAGGTTTACCTTCTTTACTAACTTCCTCAGTAACTGTCACCTGTTCTCTAACCTCCTCTACTTCAATTGGTTTAACTTTCTCTGAAGAAGGCAATGGTTTTATTGTTTCTTCCACAACCTCTTCTGTTGGTCCTTCAGTAACGGTCGTTACTGGTGCTTTTCCTTCCTCTTCAACAATAACAACTTCAGTTACTTGTTGCTCTTGTCCTTTTCGTTTAATGATCTTCTTCTTTGTGGTCTTCTTAGGCTTACCTAATTTCGTTACCTCCTCAGTGACTGTCACCTGTTCTCTGACTTTTTCTACCTCAGTTGGTTTAATATGCTCTGGCACTGGCAATGGTTTTACGATTTCCTCCACAACTTCCTCCACTGGTCCTTTGGTTACAGTAGTCACCGGTCTTTTTCCTTGTTCTTCGACAGTGACAACTTCTGTAACTTGCTGTTCCTTACCTTTACGTTTTATAATCTTTTTCTTAGTAACTTTCTTTGGCTTCCCTTCGTGTGTAATTTCTTCTGTGACTGTTACTTGTTCTCTTACTTCTTCCATTTCAGTTGGCTTTATTCTCTCTGGAACAGGTAGAGCTTTTATTATTTCTTCAACTATTTCTTCCGTTGGTCCTTCAGTAACAGTGGTTATTGGTTTCTTTCCTTCTTCTTCAACAGTTACCTCTTCTGTGACTTGTTGCTCCTTTCCTTTGCGTTTAATGACTTTCTTTTTGATAACTTTCTTAGGCTTGCCTTCTTTTGTTACTTCTTCAGTAACTGTCACTTGCTCTCTTACTTCTTCTACTTCTGTTGGAGTGATACGTTCTGCAGCAGATAACGGCTTAATAATTTCTTCTACTACCTCTTCTACAGGGCCTTCAGTTACAGTTGTGACAGGTCGTTTACCTTGTTCTTCAACAGTTACCTCTTCAGTCACTTGTTGTTCTTTTCCTTTACGTTTAATCACCTTCTTTTTGGTAATTTTCTTCGGTTTGCCTTCTTTTGTAACTTCTTCAGTAACTGTCACTTGCTCTCTTACTTCTTCTACTTCTGTTGGAGTGATACGTTCTGGAGCGGGTAACGGTTTAATAATTTCTTCTACTACTTCTTCTACTGGTCCTTCAGTTACAGTTGTAACAGGTCGTTTACCTTGTTCTTCAACAGTTACCTCTTCAGTCACTTGTTGTTCTTTTCCTTTACGTTTAATCACCTTCTTTTTGGTAATTTTCTTCGGTTTGCCTTCTTTTGTAACTTCTTCAGTAACTGTCACTTGCTCTTTTACTTCTTCTACTTCACTTGGCATAATACGTTCTGGGGCAGGTAATGGCTTAATAATTTCTTCTACTACTTCTTCTACTGGTCCTTCAGTTACAGTTGTAACAGGTCGTTTACCTTGTTCTTCAACAGTTACCTCTTCAGTCACTTGTTGTTCTTTTCCTTTACGTTTAATCACCTTCTTTTTGGTAATTTTCTTCGGTTTGCCTTCTTTTGTAACTTCTTCAGTAACTGTCACTTGCTCTTTTACTTCTTCTACTTCACTTGGCATAATACGTTCTGGGGCAGGTAATGGCTTAATAATTTCTTCTATTACCTCTTCTACAGGGCCTTCAGTTACAGTTGTAACAGGTCGTTTACCTTGTTCTTCAACAGTTATCTCTTCAGTCACTTGTTGTTCTTTTCCTTTACGTTTAATCACCTTCTTTTTGGTAATTTTCTTAGGTTTACCTTCTCTGGTAACTTCTTCTGTGACTGTCACTTGTTCTCTTACTTCTTCTACTTCTGTTGGAGTGATGCGTTCGGGAGCAGGTAACGGTTTAATAATTTCTTCTACTACCTCTTCTACAGCGCCTTCAGTTACAGTTGTAACAGGTCGTTTACCTTGTTCTTCAACAGTTACCTCTTCTGTGACTTGTTGCTCCTTTCCTTTGCGTTTAATGACTTTCTTTTTGATAACTTTCCTCGGTTTGCCTTCTTTTGTAACTTCTTCAGTAACTGTCACTTGCTCTCTTACTTCTTCTACTTCTGTTGGAGTGATACGTTCTGGAGCGGGTAACGGTTTAATAATTTCTTCTACTACTTCTTCTACTGGGCCTTCAGTTACAGTTGTAACAGGTCGTTTACCTTGTTCTTCAACAGTTACCTCTTCAGTCACTTGTTGTTCTTTTCCTTTACGTTTAATCACCTTCTTTTTGGTAATTTTCTTCGGTTTGCCTTCTTTTGTGACTTCTTCAGTGACTGTCACTTGCTCTCTTACTTCTTCTACTTCTGTTGGAGTGATACGTTCTGGAGCGGGTAACGGTTTAATAATTTCTGCTACTACTTCTTCTACAGGGCCTTCAGTTACAGTTGTGACAGGTCGTTTACCTTGTTCTTCAACAGTTACCTCTTCAGTCACTTGTTGTTCTTTTCCTTTACGTTTAATCACCTTCTTTTTGGTAATTTTCTTCGGTTTGCCTTCTTTTGTGACTTCTTCAGTGACTGTCACTTGCTCTCTTACTTCTTCTACTTCTGTTGGAGTGATGCGTTCTGGAGCAGGTAACGGCTTAATAATTTCTTCTACTACCTCTTCTACAGGGCCTTCAGTTACAGTTGTAACAGGTCGTTTACCTTGTTCTTCAACAGTTACCTCTTCAGTCACTTGTTGTTCTTTTCCT